AAAGTAAAGACAATACAAAGAAGACGACACCAATGGCAGTATCTAGACACCCACCCTTTCACCAAGGCTGCTGCAAGAACCTGATTTAACTAAACGACTTGGCGTTCATTCTACTCCTGGATGACTTATGTATTGCAATATGACATGCTGTCCAAGGTCCAAGAAGCATGAACTGGCATGGCCATAGAAGGGCCATGCTAGTTGTGTTCTCCTGCCTGGCATGGCAGGCGTTGGGTGCACACCTCATCACATGGCATATCATTGGCATGCGTATCATTGCATATCCTCTGGATCGAGGTGATGGTGTCTTAAAACATGTCCTGCCTGCTGCGTCCGCATGCTTGCCTGCAAGCGGTAATGCGAAAATGGTTGATTTTCGGGGTGCCAATCCAAGAGTGACAGACAAAGACCTCCTACTGTACTTTGCTGTGACCTCCTTCCTTGGTTTCACTTGATGGATCCAGCTGTGAACGAAACGAAAACCTCCGTGACCCGATCATTGGGCATCGATCATTGGACCGACCGGCCGACGTCACATCGTTCATTGTGAGCTGTGTGACGAGCGGTGACGCTGTTGACAGGATGCAGTGGAGCAGTGGTGCTTGGATGAAGGAATTCCAGGTCTCAAGGGCTCTCACTTGAGGACTGCATCCAAACATCAAATTCCTGGACGACCAATGTGTTGGAACCCGCGGCAGAAATCGGTTTTGCAGTACGATCCAATCAAAACATGTATCAAAGACTCCACTGTCATCTATGGCCCATTCAACGCACATCTCAGCATGAACAATGGTCCCTCGGACTGGGAAAAAATAGTAAACTAGTAGAGATTGTGGAATACCCAAAGTTGCAAAAGGGATGGAAAAGGAACACTCGGATGAAGAGGGTCTCCTACGATTGTTACATATTGCACACACCTTCAAATTGGGTCATTGTATATGTTTGGATGTTTGCTTGTAATTTCTTTAGACAGCTGCAATGCACTGGCATTTGCTTCACCTCACCAGGTCTTGTGTCATGGCATGGTGTCTACTCCAGATCTTCCCATTCAGGTGATTTGACTGATGATTTCATCACGGAATTCAACTTTCTACTTATATATATATACACCTGTCATTACCTGTGTAGCCTATAACCTTATATATATATGTATCTGTGTATACTGATGATTTCATCATGGAATTGAACTTCTCTACAAACCTGTCTATAACTTCCCCTCTTCCTACTTCTACCTGATGTCCATCCCTTAGCCATACTTCTGGAACCCTTACGTTCGGCCTCCAGTCTCCAGGAGTCCTCCAGTCGGGCCTTCGGCGTCTCGTCTCGTCGTTCCGTGTCTCGGCCCGTCTCTTTCCGCAGGACGGCGTTCCCTCCGCGCAGTTACAGCGATCGTGCACAGAGTATGTCGGTGCTTGGGCGGAACCCACCGGTCGAGCCGAGAGCTACGTCACCGTGCCGTGGGTCGAGTTCGCGTTCTTTTTGGGGGAGGCGGTCTCGGCGCTGAGACAGCGGTCTCAGTCCCGAGGTCCCGGAAGAATATGGCGGTGAAAAGCATTGCGAAGCGACCACTTCTTCCGAAGCGACGTTCCTCCAGACTCAGAGGTGTCGCATTCCACTCTTTACATTGGTAAAGTCACTGTGGTTGCCACTGTTATATGGGACGAACCGTCCGACAGAGCCGATCGGCTTTTGAGGAAACACACTTAGTCGACGATGTCTTGTCGTGTAGTTGATGATCCTCTTGGGAAAGGACATACCGTCGTAATTGACCGAGCGCAAAAGAGCAGTGATTGGAGGGTTGCCAGGGAGCTGGTTGGTCCAGCGGTCAACCCTCATATGAATTGGACCAAGTGTTTTTGGATGTTCCAATCACATGATGGTCGAAATTTCATGAACCTGACCCATTGCGGTATCACGCCCGATGCGCCGATGTGCCATGTTCTGCTGTGCAGCCTGCTACAGGGCCGGTAAGGGGTTGGATGGACATCTGTGGACCTGCTCAAAAGAGCCAATGGCCATTGTCCTGATGCCAGGGCTTAATTATGGTGGCAGTGGACATCCTCCCCCCATAGAGAACATGAGAGCAATCGTGAAAACTCGGCGATGGGTCAGTTGGAGTGCCCATCTTGGTCTCTGACTTGTCAGTTATAGCTATGGGTCAAAAGCTGAAGCTTCCTGCCCACGGCCGAGCCTTATTAGCAAAATGCTTTACGTATTTCCGAGCCAGGTACAAGACATACGCAGCAAGTCTTTGTTTGGATTCGTTGGACGTTATTGACTCCATCGAACAGGTGTTGCAGCACGTTAGGTAACACGAGCCACTGACGATTGAATGATTGTGTTTTCTTATGTTTTCTTATTTTTATTTGACTTTAGGACCCACGCATGTTGCATGTGCAGAAACCCGAGAATCCTATAGGATACCTATAACAGACATGTACATCATGTATCCGTTGGACCGAACGATTCTCTTAGGTCCCTCACTTGAGGTTCATGACTTTGTGGAAGTCCTGGATGTCACGACTCAGTTGACCAAGGTTGACCAATCTTTTTACCCTTCAGAAATGTTGGATGACTCTCAGGTGGGGTGCTGACTCCCTTGGAAGGTTCTGGCACTTACTCTCGATTCTACGGTTCAGAGCTGAACATCCCCTTCAGCTCTTCCGGGTGTCTTCTAAGACATTTTAAAGACGTCCAAAAGAGCTCACCGGAGCTACTCTCAGCCGCCTCATTCTCCGTCCGAGGACGCGGACCTGGCACCCAGTGCCACGCTCTTCGTGGAGAGTGCACGAGAAGGCTGAGCAGAGCGGAGTTAAAAAGGCTCCTTATGCCTCCTTCATGCAAAACGAAGTTGTTTAGTTCGGGGCACTGGGGCATGTGCTTTTGCCGAAGGTGACATGTGATTTTGCAGGTCCCAAAGTTTATGAGTACTTAGACATTTGAAGCGATAGAGGCTAAGTCATCGGCCTCTGACCAGTCCATCAATGTCCATCATGGTCAATTTATTGAGCCCATCGGTTTCACGCTGTTTCACCAATAGCGCGTTCAGTGTGTTTTGGCGTTCTACTGCAGTTCCTTTGGATTGTATAGAAGCAACATGTGGACCATGCCAATGAATTGACAATAACTGAATAGTGGCTTTGTGGCTAATTAAGCAGGCTCGAGGTGGTTTGCCCCATGATAGTCCCATGTTGTTATTTTTGTGTGTGTGTGTGTGAGAAGGTACCGCCTGTATTTATGTTGGAGATCCAAGCTATTATTTACCACGTTATATACCCTTTACAATATATTGAGATATCACTTGGCGATTTTATTCCCAGACGGCATCCTAGCAGGTTTCCGCGAGACCTTGTTCAATTGTGCCATTGGCACGGCAATCTTGGATATTGCACTCCGACTCACTGTTCGTAAACAAAATGGGCTTCCAAGAATCCATTGTTCACTTCCATGTTAGTGAGTCGGAGGGCATGGGATTTAGCTTGGAAGGGTTAGTGGTCGGCACTCTCCTCCTTTATCGATCATGTCGTAGCATTGAGTAGCACCACTTCCAAAAGCCCTGCCCAGTATTTGCAAATGTCAGGGTTTTGTCGGCGTTTCAGTTTAGCACCTGAGACATGATACTACATGACAGCATCATCCCAGGGTTGTCATCCGTACAAAATGAAAGTCAGTTGTACCTCAATATTGAAACATTCACGTTTACATGTGGGTTGTTCCGATTTCTGGCATGGCCATATCAGAGACATCATGAACATAGGATATCTTCTAACTTACCAGGAAACAAACTGTTAATGCTTCCTGTGGAATCAAACACACTTGCACATGTGTCACCCTGGAGATTGCATTTGTTCCTCTCTGGGACGCAGCTTGCAGACTCTGCACGCCATAAAAAAGACGGGCACTGACTGCTAGCTGGAACAAAAGCTGGAGCAACAAGGTAACAGTCAAAAACAACGGATTTGTATGGATTGTTGGGAGGATGATTGGACGGCCAATTGGGATATCCGACATGAAGCTATTTTGTTTAGCTTTGGGATGTTTAATTGGGCCACCTAGCCGCAATTGTTGACCATAGACAATTACAGGTCATACAATTTCTTACACTTCACTAAACAGTTTCATTAAACATCAAGAATCCAAAATCGCTCGAGTCTGGCTTAGGTCGTTACACGGTGTGAGTCTTGTACAAATGCTCTACGCAATCACAAGGGAGCTCAAATTCTTTATGCAAGCAGGACGCTAGAATGTAATTGCTTTGGTTTTACCACGTTTTAACACTCACCAGGGTGCACGACATGACCTGGCCCAATGCAGTCATGAGTCAGGTTCCTTTCGCAATTGCGCAAGAATTTTGTAGGTGGCGAAACCATGCAAAACATGTCCTGGCATTGTTAGCTGTGGGGTTGGTGTTTGCTTGATCCAGATAGGGTTTATATGGGTTTATTGATCTAGTGTTGCTTCAGGGCACACAAAAACACGACCGTAAGTCGGTGTGACTCGCAAGTTCTTCCGTGTGCTCTTCTGGCTCAAGGGTGGAAAGAACAACACCTTTGGTAAGGTCACGTTGATAGGGTGTTTGATTCCTATGGTCCTATAATATGGTATTCCTTTGTGTTCATTTGTTTTATATGCCTGACTTCAGTTTTGGACCTACCCTGACTGTGGCTTTATGTGTGTATTGATAGGTGAAGCGAAAGGGACAACTTGAGTTGTTTCTGGTCTCTTGGGTGGTTGCTGATGATTGCAGCTGCTTCAGCTCATTCCTATCAGAACAAACACGAAGCAGTTGCCAGTTGACTTGTGAGGCAGTTCATGCTGGCTTGTGCTGGCCAAAGACATCGAAAGAAATATAAATGTTGCTCTTGGGAAAGATGCTGCTTGCGTGTATCCGCGTGCGATTCGCACACTGACTACAGTGAATCTGTGATAATTATATCGAAATGCAGCCAATCTGCTATGGGACTCCAGCACTCCATGAAGAGTAGCATGATTTCTTGGCACCAGATCCTAGCTTTGAATTAACCGCGTTTCGAAAAGCGGAGCCACAAAATCGTGCAACGAATTGACCGATCTGCCCTCGTTGCGAGATGGGCCAGGCTGGGTGGATAAAATGGCACTCTGGAAGCTGCAGTACACCTGTAAGCTCCGTACTGGGATCTAACCATGATCTAACATGATCTAACTATATGCCGCCATTCATGACAAATCATCATGTTCTACCTTCTATATACAGTGATCTCAGAGTAGCTGTCACAATCCCCAAGATGACCATATAATGGGGGCATACAAACTTTTTAACCACCGACATTGGGATTGTGCCATTTACTCTCAATCCGCGAAAAGCCTGGAGTGAACATCAAGCCAATCCTGACCGTCAGGCCTTTGGCCATCTCTTTGGCAGCGAGCCAGTCCATGAAGAGGTGGTTTGGTCGGGGGAAAATGGATGAGCTGAACAAGGAATGTATATAAGAGTATAGAATTCTTCTTTACAGTGGCTTTACCTTTCCTTGGTGTTTCCTTTTTCAGCACGTAGACTGTCTGTAGACTTCTTCCGCAGATTCTCATATCACTCTGGAAGGGCTGGACCATCCAACGTGTGGGCTTTCAAGTCATTTGAAGCAGCATGCAATATGATAATCAGTGACCATCAGGGGATATGGCACTGCACATGCTAGACTACTCAGAAATGAGAATAAATGATTCCAGACGCATCGAGCTGATGGTCGGAGCTGATGTAGTTTGTCAGTGTCGTCTCCACGACGGTGGCCCAGTGCACAATCAACTGGAAAACCACATGAAGTCCCTGCGATGAGGAGCCGCTCAAAAAGAAAGCCTGTCAAAAGCCTGTCCCATATTTCAGAGTTTGTTTGTTCATCACCGACCAGGGTGCGACCGGACAATCTTGCAGCACCAACATGCTCGCATGTGTTCCCGTTCTTGATGTTTCCGGGGCTACAGATTCTTAGCCAACAGTTTGTCCGCCCAAATGGTAGCAAAAATCATCGACCCCACAACACGTGGCATTTTCGCGGACCAATAGAATATGATCTGAGGAGTGTGATTCTTCAGATCAAATATCTTTGGATAGATGAACCTTGTTTGGCACAAACAAGAGTGTGATTCTTCATATTTGTGCCCTTGTTTGGATAGAATATGATTCAATGAACCTCTCAAAACCTGGCACCTGGGGTCCCACACCCTGACGACTCCGGAGGTGGATGGTATGGCCGATGATCCGGGCGGGACGATCCCCGGCGTGGACATCACCGGGGACAGTCGGGAGACTGAGTCGGACGTGGACTGGTCACCTGTCAGTGGGACAAATCATGGACGATGTTTCAAGAAACAGAGAGTCATTGTATAGTTGTTTTCAACTTTGTGAATGATGATGTCTTCAAAACATGAGCAGGTGACAGGTAGAGAATAACTTGATCATGATGTCAGTCAGCTCTGAAGTACAGAAGCTCACCCTTGAGCTGCTTGAAGGATCAGAAGCATGAAGGAAACAAGCAACTTTCCTGAACCCGCTCAGATCTCGAGCGCCTCAAGTATCCCAAAGACGTTTACGAAATCCTTCACGTAAACTGTAGGTGTAAATCAAGAGTCTCGAGGAGGATTGGAACTGGTAGCTATAGAATGTTTTTTTAAACAGTAGCAGATAGAACTATGTATATATAGTTAACTATATGGAATTTGTATAGTTTTTAAGTATGGTCAACTAGAAACTATATAGTGTTTTACTATACTAGTTTCTATATAGTATACATAGATTATCATAGAATGCTTTTTGATTAACCAATTCTTTGAACATCTCTTTGACGCTTGAGGCGGACCCAGGGTCCGGGTGAAGATGCAAGAGACCATACTCGTCGGCTGAATACTCGAGGGCGATCTCCAGTGACCATTATAATATATATATATACATCATTATTACTATTATTACTATTATAGTATATGTATACAATACCTCGAGCCTGAGTGGCCTCTAATAATTTTGGAGCACCAACCTGAGTATGTGTTTTTCCAATGAAAGCAGGACGAACCAAGGTTTTTGCAATTGGGATCATTTGAGCGGCGCTTTAAATTCCCCTCTCCATCTTTAGGGGGTCGGGGAAATTCGGGGAAATATCAGTGAAAACAATGATTTTAGCTGAGGTTTCCGGAAGGTTTTCCGGAAGGATGTGCAGCAGAGCACGGTGCCGTAAGGTTGTTGTTTGCTTTTATGACAGCTGGGGCTGGGCCCAAAGATGTTGAAGAAGGCACATATATCCTTGGCCGCAAGCACACAACGTAAGGAAAACCTTGCACACGTGTGGCGCCGGAAGCAAACCATAGGAAAACGTAAGCCTTGCGTAAGACCTACCGCAAGACTGGAATTCTCGGCAAGAAAAGACAACACTTTTTTGAACGCTGCTCTTGTGGGAACCACTGCTGGTTACCCAATATCGTTGCAACTGGATCCACTGGGACTGGGTAGACCAATGATAGGCAGCCAAGCCCAAAGCTTTTGTCCTGGTTTCGGTCAGTCAGGTTCGATGTCTGTATCATAGCGAGGAAAAGGTTCTTGCATGTAGGTACATCCATGTGCCCTTTCAATGGTGTTTTGATATTTTCTAGGTGTTGAAACGCCAGTCTTAGTATGCGGCAGCGACTGCTGAATGGAAGTACAATAAGAAACACCTGACACACACACACACACTATCCCAAGAAATTTCGTGGATACGAGGATGATGGACCAAATTCCCTCTAATTGAGGCTCTTCATTTCTTGAGGATGAGGTATTATTGTATCAAATCGTATCTATTCCTACGATCCGTTTTCATCTGCGGTTTCCTAAGGAAACATCGGACACACCGTATTGTTGGGATTCTGTCAACGGAATTCCTGTGAATCTTTGTGTTTTGACACCCTGACTCACTAACATGGAAGTGGAACATGGTCACTTGGAAGTCTACTTTCCTTTACAAACGGTGGGTTTTCCACTTCCATGTTAGTGAGTCGGAGTGTACTAAGCTTGTTCTTCAGTGAGCACTAACCATTATATATATATAGAGAGGCTATAGATATATAATATATATATATATTGGGTTTGTCCCTTTTGCCAGTAAACAATTGTAATTATCACTATTTGTGAACGGGCCTTTACTAACCATCATCATCCACTGTTACTGGAATTGGATAGACCCAATATATCTAGATGATACGTTAGTAGGTCCTCCCATGTGGACCCTTCTTTTTCGCCCAAAAAAACAACCGTTTGTTCGCAACGGCGGAGACCGTCTCAGGTTGCTCTTGTACATACCCACCGATCTCCAAGGAGACCTTACACAAGGGTGACGAGGAGCGGCTTCTTCGTGTCGCTACGGACTCTCCGACTTCCTTCCAGGGCGGCTGTACTCGACACTTGTGCAAGACACAGGGCTTCCAGTTCAGTCATATTTATCCCAAGACTTGTCCATGGTATTTAAGCTGCTCATGTTGATGTGCTGCCTTTCGCAATTGCAATTGTTTGAACAAACTCGCAGGGTCCATGACGACCCTCCCGTGCGAGTGTTTGTTCGCAGGTCCAGGAGTTACTGGTAGCAGTGACCGGCCCAGGAGTTCTGGCTGAACCTCGACCCTTATACCGCCAGCACATTATTGGCCCAGAAGCCGAATGGCGAAAAGGAGCGAATGGCGTGCCGGGTTGGATCGAAAGAGCGAGCGGACGCGCCACAGGCATGAAGGTTTTGGCTTAAGAGGGTTGGTGAGAGGGATCAACTACCTGAGGTCTATACAAAAAGGAAGGTGGGAGGTTTTGTCCAGATCTCATGGATTGGATTGTTTTTGGAATGCGGATTCCGGCATCCGCCTTTCAAGAATCAAAAACAGCATCGACCCTGCCACCGAAACCTGCCATACAACATGGCAAGGGTTCGTTTGTGGTTGCGCACAGTCCGCAAGTGAGTGCATCCAATCCATGAGAAACAATGCTATAGTTGCTGTTTCCCCCACGCATTTGGGAGAGCATGCTGTTCGTCTCACATGGGTTTAAGCTTTAAGTTCATGTAGCATGTGACTACCAGTTGGTTCCCAACTACAAGTTGCTGCGTTCTTCTGATTTTATGCCATGTTTGAGGAGATTAAAATTGGTCCAGAGCAGGTCTTTCTTCCAAGTCCCTCAAAGGTAGGGCGGGACTCGCTAGTGGATGCAGCTGCCACTAGGCCACCCGTTGTCCCACAGACTCAAACACAAACATCATAGACTTAGAGCCCAAAATGCTAACAAACTAATCACGCTCGCCGGGATTGGCCAGGTTGTGCTCCCATCCCTCGGTGCTTCGGTCCCGTTACGGCCGGTGACTTCGTTTGCGTGTCGAAGGAGTTTGCCATATCGATGGATCGTTTTGGGATTGCCAAGCAGCACTTGTCCGACGCCCTTGAGACCATGCGCACCAAGCTGCTTGCATGCCGTGAGGACTGTGAGGAATCCCCCAAGGCATTGATTCTGTTGGCGATGAGAGAGTTGTTCCTTACACCACAGGAAGGGCCAGAAAAGTTGGGAAGGCCATCTGAGCTAAACAACTGGACAAGTTGCTGCAGGTTAGTTGCTGTGGTCTTTTTTAAACCTTTTTGTTGGACAAATATCTGAACAGTCTGGTTGAAAGTATGTGATGCCTCAAGAGGCAATGCTATTCTTGGAAGTGCCCTAACCAACCCACCGGGATCCACCCACCGGGATCCCCGGTCCAGCTCGGATGCCGAACGATGCCAACGGTTCCGACGGACCTTTCGACGGGTCCGAACGTTCGACTCGGTGGTGGTGAAGATCCGAACTGGTGAAACAACCTCGGCTCACTTGGATTTGGGTGTGTATTGAAAACGTTGGGAGACCCCCGGAGACCCCCTGGCCCTGGTCTATTTCCCGAACCGGACCCAGGAGGCGACAGCTTGACTTGAAGGGTCAAAACCTGGAGCCCGACCAGTCCACAACGTAGCGAACAACCTTCAGGGTAGGTCACCCAAGGTATCCTGGTGCCATGACCCACAGCCACATGTTATTTAACCTGTAGACTGTAGACTCTAGACATCCTCAGATTCTTAGGGGGGTTGTCCTCGTTGGCTCACAATTCTGTACCCAGTCACTCAGCTGCCACAACTAAAATCAAAGTGCTAGAAACGCTATATGTGTATTGTATAGTTCTTATGTTTTTTCTTGTATTGCCACGTCTATCAATTTGACTATATACATATGCACATATATCCAATATCTATCATGTTTTTGTGGGTGGTGAGTTCAAAGGCAAAGCGTGGAACAGAGAGGATGCTGCTTGTGTCCCTAGTTACACATCTTTGGTGATTGGAATTTCACCAGTCAAAACAATGTGCAAGGTGCCCATTCGAGCGCGTTGTTCCCCTAGCCCCTGGGGCTCCTGGGGCTCCTGGCGCTCCTGGCGCCAGCTGAGGTACACGGATTTGGCGCTTGCGCGGCGCGATTTGGAGTCCAGCCAGATGGGTGCAGCCTGGGAGCATTTCAGCAAATGCCGACCGCTGAGCAAGAAGTATGGTGCCTCGGTATGGCACGGCGCAAGAAGTATGGTGGGGCCAAGTCAAGGATCTGTGGGGCCAAAGGATGAAGATCAAAGCGCCTTCCAAGTCTTTAACACTCCTTGTGGATCTCCAGTGTACACCCCGACAGGAAGTTGCAGGTACATCATGTAAGGGTTTTTGCGGTGCTTTGTAGGGGTAAAGGGTGCCAGGATGCCGCATTGGTCATACGGAAAGCGTCTCGCGATCGCCTCTGTTCAGCGTCTCACATCTCGCTGGTCGAAGGCTTATATCTTCCCTGCCACGAGAACTTCAAGACCGCCATGAGCCGCTGGACTACCGCTGGTGGTAACAATTCATAACCATATTCTGATTGAACATATTATTTATTAGGAAGAGGTTTTTGAAGCTGCCACATGTTTGTTGAGCGGTGGAGGAGGATGCGCAATTTGTGGCGTTGATTCATGCAATTGTTCTGTATATTTATATGTATTTGATGTTGTTTCCCAGAGTTAAACACGGGGTGCTACTCCCAACATGAACAAGGTCCTATTCTGAAACTCTTCATGAATTCTTCTGATTTTGTTTCTTCCATAAATATGTAACTATTTGGTATTCTTTCGCAGCTGCTCTTCAGCAACTAGTCTTCAGTAACTACATCCTTCAAAAACATTCAGAAACTATTTTGCATGTTGCAGAAACTCTTTTATGCATTCTTCAGAATCTATTGTCCGATCTTCAGAAACGAGTTTTGGGGTGGGCGGTGGCTGCGGGGTGGGGGACTTATTGACATCGGCTGTGACCGCTACGATACCTTTTTTTTCTTCAATATAGTTACCACAGAACGGCGTGTTTAAAGTAAAACATACATCTCTCCTATATAAGAATCTCTCTATATATATAAATCTAGTTACGGCAAAATACCCTATACTATATAGAGTCTTTAGTTACCAAAAAGTACCTTTTAGTTACCGCATACAACACTTCCGAAGAAGACTGTCTATGCAGTGTCCGAAGACAACCATCTAGTTACCGAAGAACTTCTTCCGCAGGAAAGAAGACCGTGTAGTTACTACAGTTACTACAGTTACTTTCCGAATAGAACCTGGACCCCCAACATATTGCAATTAGTGACCTACGGGGCTGGTTGGCGTCTTCATTCAGAAGGGTTCTACCAACCAGAGCAGGAACACAAGGAGTTTATCATTCTCCAAGAGAGGGAGAGCTTACCAAAAGCTCACCTGTGGGATCCTGTGGGTAACACTACCTTTGAGTCGATGAAAGAGTGTTATTTGTGGAGAGGATCCTGGGGTTCCGTTGGCGCATCCTGTTTTGTTGTCCAATACTGGCGTGCAGAAATCGAATCTGAATGGCCTGCTAAGACTCAGACATGGCAAACATTGCTCAATGAATCCAAATGATCTGGCAATGGATTTGGCTCCTGATCCTCTTCAACCTTTTCTCATTTCACTTTTCATCCGAACTTCTCGCAAGGACGATATCGTGGGCTCCTTCAGAAACCGAGCTGCCCTGTTGGCGCTTCCTTGCCGCTGCGCCCTGCCAGTGCACCGCTGATCTTTCCGCCTCCAGTGCCGGACGTGGTCAACGCGTTGGTGTCCGCGGCCGACCGCAAACTCGGAGAGTTTCTTTGAGCTTCGATTGAGCGCAAATGGACTTACCAAAAGTTCCAAAGCCAAATGGTGCAGTTGCGAGTTTCATCAGGTTTCATCAGGGCTGCACACAGCAAAAAAGGTGCATCACCATCAGCCAAGGTGTGATTTCAGAGGTACTGGGCAGCCAGAAGTTGCAGTCATGCAGCACGTCCTTTGTGTGCAACCCTGTTCATGTCCAAAGTGGCTAGAAAGAACCCAGTTGGAAAATTTTGGCACATGTGGTGGCTGTCGTGACGTGGGTCGTAAGGAGGTCGCATTTTGCACCGTGATGATCCGTGGTGGCCGGATGTTCACAGCAAAGTTAATATATTTGTATCTTCCACACTCCTTTGCCACATCCAGGATACAATCTGAACATAATACTTTGGGTCCTCTCAAGCAAAACTACAACAATAATGTACACTAATAATGTTAGTCGCAGATGGTGCAAAGCTATTGTTAAGATCAGTGGTCCGTTTTAACCAGCTCTTGGAATTTGTGCAATCTAGGAATTGTTCCAAGAGATTGCGGCTTTCTGGGCGGATCATGATGGGGCTGGCCACGATATCTAGCTCACCTGGACCCAGGAGACGTGGATGTTCATACGGTTGTTGATCTAAAGGTCCTAATAGGTAGCGTTGTTGGCGATGACCCTGGAACATGTCAAAACCTCATTTGGCGAAAGTGTGTTTCTCGAGTTCGCGGAAGTATTTTTTAAAGATGTTCTTTCTGCTGCTGCTCTGCTGTTGCTGCTACTACTACTACCACCACTACTACTACTACCTACTACCTACTACCTACTACCTACTACCTACTACTAACTACTGCTATATGACTTCTGGTACTACTTCTACATACTACATACTACATACTACATACTACATACTACTACTACTACTACTACTACTACTCCTACTCCTACTCCTACTCCTACTCCTACTCCTACTCCTACTCCTACTGCTGCTGCTGCTGCTCCTGCTACTACTACTACTACTACTACTACTACTACTACTACTACTACTAATACTCTTACTCATACTACATACTACATACTACATACAAATACGACGACTACTACTTCTACTACTACTACTACTACTATTACTACTTCTTTACTACTACTATACTACTACTACTACTACTCCTACTACTATACTACTACTACTACTACTACTACTTTTACTACTACTACTACTACTACTACTACTACTACTACTACTACTACTA